AATGCGGGGCCTACTTTTATATTATGTCTATTATGACGATGCGGCGAGAGGTTGGAGAAAGAGTTAGCAGCGGTGGTCAGCCACTCTAACCCAAAATAGCAGGACGCACTTTTGAAGTATTCCACACTTTCAATTTATTTAACGTCGTCCACGTAAAGCCAGATCTCCACGGTACTAAACATATTTGCATACATGAGAAAAGTAACGTTAGTTTACCACTCTGCACCTCATCATCCCATAATCATCACCTATGTTCTCTTCTACAATAAAATGGAAGACTAGTTCTGAACAAAAAAAGGGAATAGGCGCCCCCTTGTGGTGATACCTACTCATCTCTCGGAACCAAACAGTATAATGACTGTTACACCTATGGTCCCAACTGTGTGCGTTTTCCAAGAGACAGGATACTGAAATGAACTACTTTGGTAAGGTCAAGATGTAGGAAAACATAAACATTATGCTCCTTATTCCTGCTCCCTTTCCGACACGTAATATAGTTTTTGTTGTCTATTTAGATTGTTGCTTTCCTTGTTCTGTTTATTAATTCATTAATTTGTATGAGATTGTTCATGTTCTTTTTCTCATGTCCGATGAAATGCTAATGCTAAAATGTTATTTTATATGTTGCATTCCTAGACAGCATTCAGATCTCCTTCAAATCAGTTTACCAGTCGCCAAATCTGCATAACATTTTGAAAAATGAAATAAGAATTTCACATCTGGGCCAAACACAGAGAGCACTATCAGGGATTTTAATTTTCTTTTAAAGTAAAAACTTCCTGTCACACTCCTGTTCTATTTGTACATTAGAAAACCTGCCACTAGCATCGACAACGCAAACCAAAATAATTTTCTTTAACCTAAATTATATTTTATGCATTCAGACAATATGGTACAAATCATAATATGTGCAACTAACCATTTGTTTATTACTGCCACCTTTTATGTGTTTGTGCTACACACCTTCTGGATTTTCAGGTTTAGGTTGGCCAACATATCAAGTTGCATTTCCAAACTCTGGGTGTGTTCTTTAATTTGGCTATTAAAGAACACATACGCCAATAGACACTAGTGTCGTAAATAGACACTGAATACGCCAATAATGAACCAGCTGAATTTTAGCTGTTGATCGTCACCTCCACCAAGGGTTTTTTGTAGTTTCTGAACAGATATGTTGCATCCCATGTTAACTGAAAAGAAAAGTCATTATTGTTTGTGTTGGCTAGATTTTGCTTCTTTGTTGTATTTAACCTAAGAAGTCAGCTCTCCGAATAATCACTAAAAATGTGATTTTGTTGGGCCATCAACCCAACAAAATTTGCCAATGTTTCTCAATATTTGTATTTCATGCACTCAGTCAATAAAAATATGTGCCTGCAATGTTATTTAATTTTCAAGTTAGTATTTGTTGATTTTGCATCTTGAGTGTGAATGCCAACTCCATGGTGCATTCCTGTAGACTTTGACATGAGTCTATGAGAACAAAACAGAATGTAACAATAATAAACCCTTGCAAACTAGCTGTTGATCATTAATTTTATATAAGTGAAATAAACATAAAAATCATCTAAAAATAGTATGAAGCTAACTAATTTCCAACATGTCGCATGTAATTTACAGTACCTCAAGAATTTGATTTTCGAATTATTACCAAGATCCAGTTGAAGGTTGGAAAACCAGTGATTTTTTTGTTTTTATTCATATGCTCAGTGACCAGACTGATGACTGTTAGCAGTATGAGCAGTTCACAAGAGCTTTATATGCATTTTATGAATTCAAGCACTTAATAAGCTTGCTTCATAAAGATTTTAGAGCACATTGTGTGACCCTGAATTATGAAGAAATAAGCTGTCTTGAGTGCTAATCAATACTTTATTAAAGGATCTCTCACTATCTTTGTTATATTTAGTAGTGTGGCCAGGGAAACCAGGTTGTATTTGGTAAAGAGGAGCTGCGTTTCTATGTTGGGATTTTGAATTTTGTTTCTCCGATTTGGACCTCAGAAATTCTGATTTCTCTATACATCTAAAAACGATTGATCACTCATAGATTTGCGTTTGTTTGCCGTTCTCTTCATGCAGCTGTAACAGTTATGGGCTACGCAAATAACTGCGGCTACAAAAGCAGCATCAGAAGATGGTTCTTTAAGGAGCCTGAGGTGTGAATGAAGACACAAAGCAATGGTTTTAGTTTTTGGTGCATTTATTAGTGATTTGGGAAAAGAAAAAAAAACAGACAATTACAAATGCACAATGAGAGACAAATTAACTCAAAATAAATTGATTCCAATATCATAGAGTTCTTGTCCTTTTTCCTTAGCTCGCCATCCTTGGATTCAGACGAGGATCTGATCCATCATGAATAAAAAAACAAAAAACCCAACCTAAATGGCCAGAAAACCCATTAAGTGTTTTATCAAACAATTATGTGCAAACATACAAATGCAATAAATATCAAATTCAAATGCAATTATTAAATGTCTAATAATTAAACTAAACATTTCAATCAGGTTAAATTAACCATAATTTAAATAAACAAAAATATCAATCATATTTCTAACTAATCAATTTAAAGTTGAAAAGTTGAAATCAAAGCTCACTTTCAAAATCAAGAAAAATAAATTAACTCAAATACTCAGAGTGAAGGAGAAAACAATAAATACATATATTGCGCAATATCATTTAAAATGTAGCTACATCCTATTTTAATCATATCAATACAAAAAGTGCCAGAACTTGCACAAAACCAGCGATCATGTTACCTTTGGGAAGAGAGTGGGGCCTACTAGGGTGCGTTCACACTGGAGCCTGAAGTGACCCAATTCCGATTTTTTTGACGTAATGCGACCTGTATCCGATCTTTTCATGGCAGTGTGAACAGCACAGGTCGGATTCTTTTTCGAATGTGACCCATATCCGATTCATATCAGATTCAAATGCGACCTAACGTTCAGGTCGCATTCATCCGAACTGAACCTCACTGTTTCTCAACAAATCTCACTATTCTGCGCAAGCAGGAAGAAAAACAACAACCATGACGAATTATATGAGGATTAAGTTGTTAATGTGCTGCTCCGGTCGGACAACAACTTAAAATATGTAGGCTAAGCTCCATCGTTTGCCTCCATGTTTACTTCCACGAACACTGAGCACTTCTTCTTTTTATGGCAGTTGGCAGAACACTGAGAACGCTGACGCTATGGCGCCCTCTACTGCGTATGCGGGACACGTTCATGTCGTTTGCCCGTTCAGACTGCAGAACGCATAAAGGGTCGCATTTACTGGCAGTGTGAACGGCCCCGGCAAAAAAAATCGGAATTGCCAAAAAAATCGGAATTGGGTCACTTCAGGCTGCAGCGTGAACGCACCCCTAGACTGCGATCACCCGTTTCAATCCTGGTGACGGCCCAGGTAACAAACGCCGACAGTTCTAACAAAACAACGCTCTACTGAGCAATCGAAGCAGAAATTTCATGCTAAACCAATAGTGCTATCACACAAACAACTCACCAATAGATCAAATCAGTGGATGCAAAGATTTTGATGAATTTGCCAAGAAGACGCCAAACAGTCAGCCACAATCACGGTGGAACAGATGATGAAGTTCAACTGTGCGCTGGAGGCGGGGCTTTAAATAAGTTGGCAGGTTTGGGGCAAAACAGGAAGTGGGCCCGCAAAAATAAAAGTCTTGACTAATTAACTAAATGCGGGTTACACAGCCATAATGTGAAAGTTGCATGATCTTTGAAACGAATGTTCCAGAAATCCGTTTTTGCCCAAACAAAGTTCAGGTATTTTACCTGCAATTACAAACCTGCTCCAAGCCAAGCATGTAATGACAAGACACTTTCCTTGGAATGGGTGGTTCGCCTGCGGCAGGAATTCAAGGAGGAAGTCATTCAGGTTGCTTTCATTCACTCGACTTTCATTTTGTAAGCAGCGCCTCGGAGGAGAAAGACATAACTGACTTGCTTCTGGAAGACAAAATGAATACAGCCAACTGCACAACCAGACATAAGGACTTATTTGAAAATAAAGTCCTGCCTGCTCTTTACATCTTTGTATTCGCTGTCGGACTGCTGCTGAATGTATGGGGAATTAAGTCTTTGCTGCACAACTGGAAGAAACTTCGGATTATTAACATTCTTGTTCTTAACCTTGGACTAGCAGACATGCTGTATCTGCTGACTCTCCCCTTTCTGATTGTGTACTACCTTAAAGAGAGTAAATGGATCTTTGGAGAACCTTTCTGCAAGGTAACAAGATTATGCTTTAAACTGAATTTATACTGCAGCATCGGATTCCTCACCAGCATAAGTGTGTACCGGTACCTGGCCATTGTCCATCCAATGAGAATAAAGGGGAGACTGACTTCAACACACTGTGTAGTCAGCTCAGTCCTGGTGTGGATTTTTGTAAGTGCTCAAAGTATTCCAGACATGTTCTTCCCTAAGCATTCAGAGAACACGACTGGACAATGTTATGATACAACTGATTTGAAAAATGTGGAGAAATACCTGCATTACAGCCTCAGCTGGACGTTCATCGGATTCTTCATCCCGTTCCTCATCACCGTGGGCTGCTATGGACATTTGACTCTTGTTGTCTGCCGCTCAAATACGGTGAAAAGGAATCAGAAACAACAAATCTTAAAACTGATGGTTTTATTGCTTTTCCTCTTCTCATTTTGTTATGCGCCCTACCATGTTTTCAAGAACCTCAGCCTGTATTCCAGAGTTCAGTTCACCAGGGCGATTTGCCCCACATGGAATTCTGAAGTTTTCATTGCACATCAGGCAAGTCGTGGTCTTGTGAGCCTGAACAGTGCTCTTAACCCGCTGGTTTACTTAAATGTAAATAAGGATATGAGTGTTCAGTTGAAGCAGATGTTTTATCAAGGTTCACAGAGTTTCAGACGTTTGTTCGAGTCCAGATCCATTTCTGTGCCGGTGCCACAGAGTGAGGAAGAATCTGTCAGTCCTTTATAAGAGAAGGTCGTTTTTTTTGCTGACTGTCACGAGGGAAAGTGTTGTGACGTTCTTTTCGCTTTGTATTCTTCCTTCTTCTTGACTAATTAATCAAACTTAACTGTCCCTGCTGCAATAGCAGAATGGAGAAAGTCTATTTTGAACATATTTGGTTGAATTTTTTTTTTTTGTTTTCATCCACACATAGTCAAAATTATGTGTACCCCTACACATTTATTCTTTCTTTCAAATGTTCATTATGAATACACATGCACATGTAATCCAAAGATATTCAGACTAAACTCAAATTACAGTTTTTATGAATGATTTTATTTATTAAAACAAACGCATCCTAAACGGAATAACTGGTTTGGTCTTGATTTTCTTGGTAGTATCTCCCATAAAATATGGCAGCTGGATGTCTGGAAATGAGTCTTTTACGTCACTGTGTAGGAATTTTGGCTCATTCATCTCTTCATATTTGTTTTGATTCAGCTGCACTGGAGGTTCATTAGTGTTGAGAGAAGATGAGTTATAAAGATTCTTTGTCCGTTTGGGCGCTAATGCCACTGGTGAATTTCACACCATTTCCTGTTTTTTACTCGTTATATCCTCTCATATACCCGGATTCAAAAAATGCTGTGCGCTAAGAACTGAGACCACCCAGAGGTATCAGCGTCAAAATACTCAGCATTTATTCAAGACAGATGCATACTATCATCACAAAAGCACATCACAAAACTCAAAGCACAAACAACACATGAATTTACCTGAGAGAGGGAAAAGAACAAAAGATGGAAATGAGAAACAAAAAGTAAAGACATCTTTGGAGAATTGC